AAATATTTAGTTTACAAGCTAAATATTTAACTTGCAACTTAAATATTTAGTTTACAAGCTAAATATTTAGCTTGCAACTTAAATATTTAGCTACAGTAGCTACCTAAATATTTGACTTGTTTGCTAAATATTTAGGTAGCTAGCTAAATATTTAAGTTGCAAGTTAAATATTTAGCTTGTAAACTAAATATTTAAATCACAAGTCAAATATTTATTTTGTCAACTAAATGTTTAATTTGCAAGTTAAATATTTAGTTTATAAACTATGACATTAATAAATGTATGAATCATATGGTGAAAAACTGACTTTGAAAAATAAATCTGTTCTTTTTTTCTTATTAAAGTCTAAATAAAACAAAAATATTTGTGGTAATTTTTGACTGTGTAACTTTAAAAATGGCACCCCATACCCTGTCCCCCACCACCACCATCACACCACTGTGCAGATTTTTAAAATAACACAAAATAAAATCAAAAAAGGACCCAGAGCTGCTTCACATTCACCATGACTCATCTCAGGAGGAGCCGGAGGGTTACAAACAGTGATACTACCATTAAAGTTGATCAAAATATAAGTGAAAAAATAAAACCAGCCACCAAATTTCACAAACTTCCACTGCCTTTTTATGTGCCTRTTTTTAGTTTTCAAAGTGACCTCTGCTAACAGAACATCTCTCATAATTATAACCAGTGTAATCAGCTAATAATAATAACAATAACAATATTACAATAAAGATAACACGTGAGTTAAAAAAAATAAGCAAACTAGATAAAAAACAAAAAATGTAAAACACTTATCTTAATAGTTTTTTTAAAGAGCTCTATAAGATTCTATATTTTTTTCATTTATTTGTCTCTTTTCTTTAGAAAAAAAATTCACCTGCAGTCGTATACCACACTGTGTGCCACCTTCTCCTCCATAAACATTTCTTACCTTTAAAAACAAACAAAATAAAAATAAAAATAAATCACCTGTTGTCCATTTAGCGCCCCACTGCCTTCAAATCCACTCGCACGRGATAACTGAGATACAGTTGTGAAATGATCCTCTGCAAAAGGTGCAGTCCTCATGAAAGGTCCGTGCTCGGCCTTCAGTGCCTGAAAACACCCCGACTGCTGCAGACATCAGGAGTCCATCACGCCTGGACTGGAGGAAGCCATTTTGAGGGTCAGGTCGTTTCCTGCCAATGCTTTGTGAAGTTCATTTAGTGGAGTCCGTCCCACAGCTGTTAGTCCAAAACAAGCTCAGATTAAAAAAAATGACTCATCTGGTCGTAATAATAACCACACGGATAAGGATGACAGCGCAGTAATGTTTTGTCGGGTCAAATCTCAAACCTTTCGTTGACACTTTTAAGAAATCACGCTGAATCAGCACGTGTGTCATCATTCRAAATGAATGTGCTGAAACAAAGCTGAGCTTATCATTATCACTGTGATCATTATTATTATTATTATCATTAAAAGTGCCGCCGTTAACCAGAAAAAATGAAACGTTTTTGCAGCTGAGCAAAACGATCTTCCCTCTGAAATGACCCTGTTTCTGTGGATGAAAGGGGATTTTTTTTTTCTGTGTGTGGCTAAAAAAACTTTAAAACCAAAATAAATTTAGTCAACACTTTGCCCAGTTTGTGGTCTTCCACTAGAGTCCTTACAGGAAGTGCAGTCAGGGGGGCGATTTTGTTCCAAGTTCAGAAAAGCTGTAAGAGCCACCAAAACAGCTGCACTTGCTTATTATATATATATA